GAAGACTAGCTGCACCGAAGGAGCGCGCACGCGCGTTGGCGTCTTCGCTTTCCCAGCCGCTGCTGCGGGCGGGGGCGGGGGCTGAGAGACGAGCGGCAGAGCAGAGCGGCCCCAAGCTGGGGTTCTTCCCTAGCGGCCCCTGTCGAGTAGGAGGAAGCATTGCAACCGCTGCTGTGGGCGCCGGCAAGGACAGCTGTTTAACATCTCGACTTTCGGCGCTTACTGGGGAGGCGCGAGGTCCTGAGCGCCGACAGAATCACATGCCTTAAATGATATCACGGTTCTCTGTGTCCTTCGAGTCCCTGCTGCTGCAGAAAGCCCCCTAGGCTTCGGTACGCTCGAACTGTGCACAGCCCACTGCAATGCAGCCTCGGGAGGCAGGACAGACCCCTGCGAGCGTAGATTGCAGTACTGCGTCCTAGCTCCCCTCTCTCTGGCAGGCTCCTCCACCTGCAGCATGCGGAGTTGCCACGTCTGAACTCAAAGGCTGCAGTGACCGTTCTTGCGTCATCTTAACAATAAAAGTAAATGCTAACGTTTACCCTATCTGTATCACCTCTCAGTCGGCACTCTCAAAACAGTTGGCACGGTACTACCTTTCTTAATAAGACCTCATCTTCCCTTGGGAGGGGTAAGTACCTCTGCTTATTAAGCTGCATTTTTCTCTCATTCATTTGCGTTGGGAATTGATAGGAGGATTCATTTTCTTTTTAATCGTTCCTATAGGAAAACTTATTAATATTTGATGAATTCCTGCATAATAACTTTTTTCTATTTAAAAATATGATGTTCTCGCCTCTTCTTACCTCATTTTCCTACCCCCCCAAAGCAATTACACCTGTGTGGAAGAATTTAGGTTATTTCATCTTCATAATAGCTTAAAACTATCTCAGACATTTGCATCTAAAAAGCAGTGGCAGATAAGTTATCCATCTAGAAATCTCTACCACGTTTCTCCTCTTCACTTTCTAAAATTTTAGCATAGAAACAAGCCAGACCTTTGCCATGACCTAAAGTACCTCAAAACCCCAGTAGTCTATGCTTAATTTAGTAATGTCTCAATGTCATGTGGTTTCCAACTTCCACACCAATGACACATTTGACTATTTTTTGCTCGGGTATCCCATGTTTTCAAATATTTCTTACTATGCACATTGCACTTATTAATAACTTATTTTCCAATTATAAAAAAAATCTAGCTATATCCTAATTCCCCTTTCCATGCCTTTTGGAAAAAAGTCTTCAGTGACAAATTTGGGGTCACCTTAACAATAAAAGTAATTGGGAACATTTCCCATATCTGTAGCATGAATAAAACCAAGAACTATCACACAGAGTGATATTACTAGCTGAAAGCAAAGAACCATTACTTTTTTGTGTGAGCCTGAGTGGTCATGGGGAAAATGTATGATTTTTACTATGCTTTTAGAAATACTACATGTAACTCCTCTTCTCAAAGGTCAAGTTGTTTCTTTTCCCCTGTTACAAAAATATAACCATTTAGGTAGAGTGAATCACCTAGGTCTAATCTATTAAGAGACACAGGAAACTTTAATGATAAAAGGTTTGGGGAACCAGAGGCGGCTTGGTGGTTAAGGTGCTGAACGCTCCCACATGGCTTACCACGGTTTGAGTCCTGGACCTGGTGGCTTGTTTCTCTCTTTCTCTCTAATGTCAATTTTTTTTTAAATGAATGAATAAATAAAATAAAAATAAATAATTATTTAAAAAATAAAAAAGGAGGTTTGGACTCGGATAATGATAAAAGAAGGTTTGAACTCAGGGCCACCAACAACAATGTTTAGCATTTTCAGAAAAATAGCATGTATGCTCTGAGCCCAATGTGCTTGATTATACTGTTCACCACCCTGTAGTCTCCACCCCTCTCTAGATTGCTAAGAACTTAGAACATTGGATCGTAGAGATAAAAGTAAGCTGAAAACCTGGATTTTATTGTTATCTTTGTCACTCACTTGCACCTTGTAATTTTGGGAGAGTCTCTGGGCCTCATCTTCAAAGCAAGAAAGTAGCAGGAGCGGCAGGTGGTGTGGTAGTTAAGGTGCTGGATACTCCCACATGACTGACCACAGTTTGATACCCGGACCTGGTGGCTTACTTTCTCACTTTCCTTTTCTCTCTCTGTGTGTCTCTCTGGTCAAATTAAAATAAATGAAAGAATAAATAAAATTAAATAATTATTTTAAGAAAAAACAAGAAAGTAGTAATACTAAGTATAAGTTATACTAAATTATTCCTGAGATTCCTTACAGTTCTAAAAATCCTCTAAGCACATTGGTGTTTTCTCACTAGAAATAACTTACATACAATCTCTGCTTATTTGTGAGAGTAAACTACAGAAAGAAACCTTAAGCTCTTCATTTTATAGGAGAAAAATTGCATTTAGTTTGGATGCATTTTTTTTAAGAATTATTTTATTTATCTTTATTTATTTATTTATTTAAATTTGACCAGAGAGGGACAGGCTAAGAGAGAGAGAGAGAAAGAAAGTCGCCAGTTTCAAGACTTGAAGCGCAGTCAGCCATGTGTGAGTCTAGCACCCCAATTACCACACCACCTGCCAGCCCTGAGTGTGGATGCATTTTTTACTTCAGGGTTTTTTGTTTTCTTGTCTTTTTTTTTTAGTGAGATTTTTGCTATTGGGTGCATGCACTCACTGGAGACACAGGGAGACACAAGGTTAGGGTTAGGGTTAGGGTTAGGGGAAATGGCCATACCGCCAGGGAAGATGGTCACACTGCAATCCATCTGTCTCCTTTATTCTCCTCTCTGGATTTTGGGCACGCACGCACATGCTCCTGGCATTGTTTTTTTAAGCTGCTGGGCTGCAGTAGACTACGTGGGAGTGTAATGATGTAACCAGTATGCCATCTGCTGGTTCCACTTCAGGTATTTATAGGACAGATAACAAAAATCCCAAATGTATAAAAATCCTTCCTATCACAAGTATAATAAAGATTCCCTTTTATCATGGTCTTCTCTTCAGAACAGAAGCCCTAACACAAATCTCCTTAGCTGGCACAGTAGTTTAGTAAGCAATCCTAGCTGTTGTGTTTCAGACTTTCAGATTTTCCCAAGGACTGGGCTGAGGGATCCTGGAGACTTGGAGCAATCATTCAGATTCCAAAAGGAAACACAAAAGTGAGAAATTATGAGGGGTGAAGTTCAGTCACACACACACACACAAAACATAGTGGAACCAGCGGATGGCTTAACGGTTACATAACTGGACTCACACAGAGTTGATCATGGTTCAAGTCCTGGACCCAGCGGCTTAAAATTAATGCCAGACACATGTGCGTGCATGCCCAAAATTCCAAGAGGAGAATGGAGGAGAAGAGATTGCGGCCTGGCCATCCCCCTGGGAGGATGATTTCTCACTTTCTGTCTCTCCATGAACAAATGCACCCTATAGTAAAAATATCTCTTAAAAAAAACAAACAAACAAAACTTAGCAACATGAGACACACACAGCAAAAATGAAGAGGGAAACAAGTCAAGACATCAGAACTGGGGGCTGTCCAAGAAGTCAGTCCCCAGCTACAGGGACTAGAGTTACAAAGGTCAGTCCCACCAATACGAGGCAACCGTTCATTTAATTACATGTTCATTGAGCACCAGGTATTGTAATAAGTGTTGGAGATAAAATGGTGAGCAAAATGAATGTAGTTCTTATCTACACACAGCTTGCAGAGCAAAGAAAATTTTCGGTGCATCTACTATGAATAAGGCACTGTGCTAGACATTGGGCCCATAGCTTTTATTTGGTGTACAACAGTTTAGCAGCTTGATCTAAGTCCAAATAAACAGAAAACTCAAGTAGTTGCCCTTTTTAGAGGCTTGATTTTATACAATATAGGTAAGATAACATTTAGGATTGCCTGATAAAATAAAAAATTAAATTTGAATTTTAAAAGGACAACAGATAATGTTTTAGCCTAGGTATGTCTCAGATTTCAGATAAACAGCAATTATTTTAAACTACAGTATGTTTCATGTACTATTTGGGATGTATTTATACTAAACAATGGTCTGAAATTTAAGCTTTACTGGGTATCTTATATTTTTATTTTCCAAATCTGACAACCTTAACAATGCAATACTTTTAGCACTCTCTCACTCTCTTTTCACAATGTGTATAGAAATCTATATTCTTTTCAAAGATAAGCACAATTCTTATACACTTCACCCTCAACTTTATTTTTATTAGTTTTATAGGCCTTGTATGTCCCCTTTGTTCAGGCTTATTGAGATATAATTCAATAATAATAAAAGACATATATTTAAAATGTGCAGTATATACAGGTATAGAGTATACTCAGTGTATCTGTGAAAACATCACCATAATTAGAATAAATATATTCATCATTCCCAAAAGTTTCCTTGTGCTCCTTTGTAATCCTTCTTCCCACCTACTATCACTAGTCTGTTTTTTGTCATACAGATAAGGTTGCATTTTCTAGAATTTTATATAAATGAGATTACATAGTATATATTCTTTTTTAGCTATTAAATTATTCATTTAGCATAATAGTTTCCAATCTGTATGATGTTTATTTCTTTTTCTTACCTTATTGCACTGAGTACTCTAATATCACGTTTAATCAGAGTAGTAAGAGTGAACATCTTTGCCCTGTTTCCAGTCCCAAGGGAAAACATTTAGTTTTTCACCATTGAGTATGACAGTGGATGTTTTTAGATGCCCTCTGTTAAGATGAAGAAGTTCCCTCCTACTTCTGATTTGCTGGGAATTTTAGTTATGAATGAATGTTGAATTTTATCTATTTTATTGCTTTTTCTATCCCTATTAAGATGGTTCTTAAAAAATTTTGTTAGTAAAGGGACCAGCAGTTGGCGTAATGGCTACGTCACTGAACTCCCATGTAGTCAACTGTGGTTCGAGTCCCAGACCCAGTGACTTAAACTCACGCCGGGCACGTGTACGTGCATGCCCAAGATCCCGAGGAGAATGGATTGTGGTGTGGCCATTACCCTCGGGGGTGATTTCTTACTTTCTGTCTCTCTGTCTCTCTCTGTCTTTCTGGCAAGTGCACACACCCTATAGCAAAAAAACTCTCAAAAAAAAATTTTTTTTGTTAGTATGGTGAATTTCATTGACTGACTTTCAGATGTTGAATGCTGATTTTCAAATGTACATTTCTGGAATTAATCTACCTGGTCATGTTGTATTATCCTTTCGTATGAGAGGGTCTTAAAAAATTATGGAAAATGTGAAAATGTGACTCTTTTCTGGCTGGAACCATGGAGGGCATTCAAGAGAAGAAAAAGAAGGTTCCTGCTGCGGCAGAAACCAAGAAAAAGGCTCCTGCTGCCACGGAAGCCACCAAGAAAAAGGTCCCTGCTGTGCCAGAAACCCTTAAAAAAAAGCAAAGGAATTTTGCAGAGTTGAATATCAAGCGCCTGAGAAAGACGTTTGCTCCAAAGATGCTTTGAAAGGCAAGGAGGAAGCTTATCTATGAAAAAGCTAAGCACTATCATAAGGAATATAGACAGATGTACAGAACTGAGATTCACATGGCCAGGATGGCAAGAAACGCCGGCAACTTCTGTGTACCTGCAGAACCCAAATTGGCATTTGTCATCAGGATCAGA